GTTCGAGGTGCGGTTATTCTGGACGGCGCGGTGCGGTGCGGTGCGGTGCGGTGCGGTGACATTTCGAGATGAAAAAAAACGCACCGCACCGCACCGTTAAATATCGAGATGCACAAAACCGCACCGCACCGCACCGCAACTAACCGTGCAGACATACACACACCAGGACCATTGAACACTCATCTTTTTTTATGAACCAGCACATTCGCAACACGTGTCCCCCATACCACACACACACACACACACTGCGATACGCGCGGTGCATACGCGGTGCATAACTCCGCCCATCTTTGATGGAGTCACCTCCCGACGATGGCGACCAGCCTCTTGCAGAGAGAAGTGGTCGCCACGCGTCCATCTCCTTCTCCCGGTCGTTCTACCACACACTGCTCTCAGACTGATGCTGGTGCTGCTGCTGATGCCGCGCAAACTGGGGGCACCCCGAAGGCAGTTCGCAGCGTGCAACGCACCGCCGTCAACGCATTCATTCGCGGGTTGTAGCCCGTGGCGGGCATGAGCCGCCTGCCTGGTGGTGCTGCCAGAATTTTTCTTCATTTTTTTTATTTTGCATACAAGCATGTATATGTTCCCATATTCGCATATATCTATTCCAACAACAGGAAGTAGTATAGTAGTAGAAGCAAGTGAGGGAATGTAGCTCGTGTTGTAGGAACGTCATACATACGAGGTGACTGGGAAAATGAAGGAAATGATCAGTAGCTTCTCCGTTGTCTGGGTTTTTCGGGTTTTCCGACCGCAAGCCGCGGGATTTGTCGTGTCGGCCTCATTTCAATGGACTAAACCTAACGTATTCATTCCACGAAAAAAAAAACATGGAGACCCCGTCATTTTGTCTGTTTGTGATGCAGCTATTCGTTTCATCCTTCTGGGTCGGCCTTCGGCTCTCCCTCCGGATTTCCTGGATCATCTTCCGTCCGCTCGTCGACCTCCTCTGTCGGAGATTCGTGACCTGTCTAACAAAGGCCGGTTACAGGTTGACGATGATGGTTTGGTCTTGCTTGTTCGCAAGCAAACAGCGCCCCCGTCGTCTACGACCACACGTCCTGGCGGGCGTGCTGCTCGCCTTCTCAACGACGAACCCATTCGGATTTATGTTCCCATGCTCATGCGTCCGTGGATCATGCAAGCCTGTCACGCTGATGCATCCTGCCACCTCGGTGCCGCTCGCACGCTTAGCATGCTGGAACGTTTTTATTGGTGGGTTGGCATGAGCGTTTGCACGACGAAGTGGTGGGTAAGGCATTGTTTGCGATGCCAAGCTCGCAAGTCATCTCGTCAAACGCCTCGATGGCCTACTTTGTGCCTTCCGCTGCCTTCGGGCCCTGGTGTGTCGGTGAGCGTCGATTATTTCGGTCCCCTCCCGTTGACACCGCGCGGAAACACATATATTCTGCTTTTCACTGATCGTTTCAGCCGCCGTGCTGACATGTACGCGGTTACGGCTGCAGAATTCACCGCCGAAGGCACCGCTGACGTACTTCTCAATCGGTATATCCCTTTATGGGGTTGCCCTTAGAGTCTCTTGTCTGATAATGGCTCTCAGTTTTGTTCTAAACTATCGCAGGCTGTATACGCCCGTCTGGCTATCCGCAAAGTGGCTACCAGCTCTTACCATCCCAACGGCAATGGGGGTGTGGAGCGCGTAAATCACACTATGGCTCAGATGTTGGCTATGGTCGTCAATGAGAGGCAAGATGATTGGGACATTCATCTGCCGCACGTTGAGTTTGCCTACAACAATTCGGTTAGTGCCGCTACTGGTTTGGCGCCCAACGAGGTGCATATGAACCGACTGCCACGCATGCCGATGACGGTTTTTGAGCATCCATATGCTCGAGGCCACCAAAGCTTGCATCGCGATCAACTTGAGTATTGCGATCTTGCTGCTGATCGCCAACGTCGTTCTTACGATTTAGTTCGCGAACAGCACAACCTGTCCGTTTCGAGGATTGAGCGGCGTAACTCCGCTCTATCGGATGCTTTGCGCAAGGTCCCCTCATACACCGTCGGTGGATGGGTTTGGGTGTACAACACCGAATCTACCATTCGACAAGGTGTTCGTTCAGGCACGGATGACAAGGTCCTCAAGGCTAAGTTGTCTGACTGGTCCGTTCAAGATCTTGGCCGTGGGTCCGTGTCCTGACGCCCCCGACGGTTGTCCTCTGGCTTCCAAGTTACTGTATTTGGATCTTCCATCGGATCTGCCGGGTCCGGACTCGAAAAACCGTGTGTCAATTGCGCGTTGCAAGCCTTGCGCTAACCCGCATGACACTGAAGATTTGCCTCGGTTCCTGCCTGCCGGCCTTACACCGTATGTGCTCAACTCCTATGCGAATAAATCTCCTCCCCACCATGTTACGGAAGACGACGTGTCGACTCCGGTCGAACGTCTAGAGGTTGACCGCATTAGTGGCCATCAGTCTGTTCGTGGCCGTGGTGGCACCATCGCTGTTTTATACCAAACGCATTGGAAAGGTCTTCTTCGTCCTTCTTGGGAACGTGAGATGGACCTCCAACATTCCAAGACCCACATTCTCCGGTACTGGACGGGTTCGCCTGATCAACATCGCCAAACGAATCGTCGCTATCGGGCGATGCGTATTGGTGCGGCCACCCGCGAGATGGCGCGCGCTAAAGGGGAGCGAGCTTTGCCTTCGGGTTATTCGCTCGTCTCTCGTTCAACTTGGGACCGTCGCTTCGCCAATACTCCGCTACCTGCAGGCGCCTTCTTCTGGTACAAAGCTCGCGATGGATTCTGGTGGTTGGGCAAGATTACTGGACCGCCTCTACCGTCCGACTTCTACGTCGTCCGCTTCTTGGACGATCCTGGCCCTGTCAAGCTCGCCCTTCCTGATGTTCGCTACTCCACCGCTGAAACCGCCGTCTCCGGATCCTGGTGCCTCCAAGTTCACAGCGGCAGCGCCCTTTTTAAGGGGATCCTTCGCAACGTCGACATGTCGCGTGGTGACCCCGGGACTGATTCGTTGCCTGATAACGTTGCGCGCCCCCATTAAGACGACATGCTAGTTGTCTTGGCTTTCTGTTGTTTTCAGCGTTGTTTGGGTTGCTTTTTAGCCTTGGTTGGTTTTCGCTTTCTCCTCGCTTTATTTTGTGCCTTTAGCGTTTGGTCACGACCTGTAGGTGTTTCGCGCCCATTGTTGCCCCTTCTACACTGCCGTGGCGACTGCGTGAATGGCGTGACTTATCGTTTTCTTACGATACCGGTCTTGTTGTGGTTCCTACAGTGATCCTTTCTTTTTGTCGTTTTGACGACCTTTGTTTTTCTTTTCTGTTTTTCTTCCTTTCTTTGTGTTCTCCTTTCTATGGTTCCGACCTTCTTCCGGTCGTCGTAGGCTTCTCTTAGCCCCGTCAGTTCCTTCCTGTGTCTTCTTGTCGTTTTAAGAGTCAACGATGGTCTTGCGACTCATCGAGTGAGAGGTGTGGGAGGGTGAATTGTGCTGTTTTGGAGCTCCACATCCTCGATACGTTCATTTAAGGACTCGACAATTTCTTGCCAAGCCTCGAGGTTTTACAGTATCTGCGTATGAGAACCTCCAGGGTGAGCTAGTGTTATAGGATTCAGATGCGTAGACGGAACATAGAAGAGCTTGGTTCCTTCTAGAAGGCGCGGAGAGATCAGATGTAACTCTAGGCGGAAGGAAAAAAAGCAGGCGACAGGATCTAGTAGCCCCTGCTTGTGCAGAGGATCCTGTGCCCCTTGGTGTTATTCCTACCGATACCCAAGGCAACAGCTACTGCTGCTGCTGTTCTACAAGAGTAACAACAAGTGAGTTCTTCTTCACGGGTCAACCAGACTTCATCACGCGTGACATACCACCACAGCAGTTGGGGTCGGGTCGGGTTGGGGTTGGTTTGGGGTTGGGTTGGGGTTGGGTCGCCGCCGTCGATCGCGCCGCCGTCGCTTCGTCCTTCGTCGCCGTTGGGTTGGGTTGGGTTGGGTTGGGTTGGGTATTGGGTAGGGTAGGGTTGGGCAGGGTAGGGTAGGGTTGGGTCGGTCGGTCGGTCGGTCGGTCGGTCCGTCGATCGCGCCGCCGTCGCTCCGTCGATCGTCGCCGTCGATCGCCCTTGTTTCCGAGTATTTTCCACAAGACACTACTTACTATTCATTTGTAGACTATTTTGTACACCGTGCAGGGGACGCAGAGCAGAATTTTGTAGTTTACTTTAGTGGCTAGAGTTTTGGAGTATGGTATGCTTTTGGTATTTCATGCGACCCGTAGCCTATAAAACGCCTGCACGTGAAATCCTGCCAAGATC